CCAGGAAGTAGCAAAACCCTGGCTTCATTTTCTCAGTGCAGAAACCAACGGGTGACACCACAGCAGCTACGTCCATCTTTTATACAGTCTATGGTCAAAGGGATATATCAGGTAGCGATGAACATTCAGGTCTTGAAGCTGATGTGTTGGAAGCATAAAAAGTGGGAAAGTGTAAGGATCTGAGAGACTTTGACAAGATGATGTTAAGTGGAAACAAACCCAACTGAAAGCTCTCAAACTATTATTTTGTTTATATGTTAATTGCCTCTTTGGATGCATGTTTGTTTTTAGATAAACTATTTGATGCCGGTGAAGTGACTTCCATCTAGCTCAGCATGTTGAAAGTTCAACATACGATTTCAAGCCAAGGGGTCAAAGGAAATGGCTTGAGGTCCATCTAAGGAGATACCTTTTCTATCTTTAGTTACCTTTAAAAAGTTGGACTTAGCTTTTTTAAATGATATGGAAAGCTTAGCTTAGGCTTGGACTTATCAAACTTGACACGAGTTGGAGAGTTAAGGACCAAAAGGAAGAGACCAACAGCAGGTATTTAAGAAATTAAAAGCAAACTTAAATCAAAAAGCTGATACAAAAACAAAGCACAGTCCAGACAAATCACTGGCAAAAATTAAATTAAAAAATCAAGAAATTACAAAGGCATGGCATAACTGAAGCAAGAAATTAAGAAACACAAGAAGTCTCAAAAAACAAAATGTCTAAACCGGAGGCAGGTGAACAGGAGGTCGAACATGACGGCAGCGAACAAGGCAACAAACAGGACAAACTGACAAAGACAAGATTATTTAAATGCTCTGAAGTAACACAGGTGAAACTAATCAGGGCCATCAAAAGGGAAAGGAAGAGGAACAGAAGTAAAGACAGAAGCGACAAACGAGGAAAGGCGATTTCAAAATAAAACAGGAAGTAACTAAAAAAGGGACGTGAAACCAACACATAGACACAAACAATGACAGTAACACAGAAAAGGAAAGGGAAACAAACAGGAAAGAAATCTCATAAACAAAACAAAAATAGCAACCAAAACCCAAGACCATGACAGAACTGTATCTAACCGACCACTGGAAAGGAAGTGTTGCAGCTGAGGTTCCCTTTTTAGAACCTGGAAGAACCGTGATTCTACCACGTCGTATGGACGATTAAACAGGTGCTGCAATTTATCTACGAGACAAGACAACTGGGTCAGAGCATCTCCGAAATCACAGGTTTTGTAGAATGTTTCCAGTACGTAGTACCAAAAGTGGTTCAAGAGAGGACGACTAGTAACCCAGCAACAAGTTTATAGGTATTCAAGGCTCACTGATGCATCTGGAGAGCCAACAGAAAAATGCACAGTTTGATGCATACAAGGTTTGTGTAGCTTCAGAAAGATGAGACAAGACAGCAGGATGCACTTTGAGATGAAGCCGAGCTGCCCTGAACGGTGTTCTTCTGGAAAACCTTTGTACCTGGATTCATGTGGTTGTTACTTTGACCCCTACCTCTAACCCAAACCCTTCCATTCCCTAATGGATTTTAGGTTTCACCAGGATAATAAACAGGACTTAACGGGTCATCAGCTAATGTCTTGATGCCTGATACCACAGGTGAGGGGTCTTGTGTCAATGCCTCAATGAGTTGGAGCTGTTTGGTGGCACAAGGAAGATCTACACAACATCAAGCATTAATGTTGTGGCTGACTGGTGTAAGCTGATAAGTACTTCTTGAAGGCTCTGTTTCCTACATGCTGATTTCAGTGGCAATTTTCAACCTATAAAATGAGAAAATTAACAATAAAAGCAATTTGCACAATGTCAGTCTGGCATATCATCTCAACACAAAAAAAAAAAATACTCTACTACTGACATTTGGATGTTTGATTAGACTATAAATAGACAATTTTCTTATTGTATTTCTGCAGAGTGGAAACATCTCACTTGGTAAGAACCTCCCGCTGCAGGCATTTCCATTGACATGCAAGTGGTTGTCTATACTCATAGCAGAGGCATTTTGTTTTAGAATGAATTTCCAATGTGGTAAATGAAATCCAATCCCGGATTCACAATGCCGACTGAATAAACTGTCTATTAATTGATGCCAGGCAGAGTCCCTCACTCTGTATCTCTCTTCTGATAGTCTGGCATGCCAACAGGGCTTGATTTGTTTGATGCATTGCCATAACCTGTGGGGATTAGATGATGTTAAGCGTTGGTTTTCCAGCTCCTGATGGCTCACAGCCTACTAACATGTGGAAAATAGTATCTTGGTCTGACAACCACCCAGGCCTAAAAATGCATGTGTCAAGTAAGCTGGCAAGATAATTAACACCAACCAGAAGCAATTTTCACATCTAAGTTATCATTGAGTGCAGAGAGAGAGACGTTTAAGTTATTAATCATATTCCTCTTTCCTGAAATTTACTCACGAATAGTGCAATCAACTTGCAGAGACTGTGTATTTATAGTTAGGGACATGGCGAATGGCTGCAACGCAATTTGCTTATTTGTCCATTATGCTGTATTTATTTCATCTAGAGCCTTCAAAATTTGGGGATACAGTGCATCTGCATAGCCATTATTCCTGCAGCAGAATACATCTTCCCCGTTGCAAATCTGCATTTGTGCTTCAACAACAAAACTGAAAACACTATATTTATGTTTTCCAAATAAGTGGGAAAGGTCAGCCCTAAGAGAAAGAGGAAAAGAAAGTTAAAATTACCAGTGTCAGTGCTTTTAAAGAGGCTTTTTCATCATTCTGTCACATGAGTTTAACAAATATGTTTTACATTTTTGTATAGCCTTAAAATCATGCAGCATTTTTCGAGAAAGTATTTGCTATAGTTTTGCATGGCTACTCACTTTCTTTCCTTTTTCAGAAAGCTTGTTATCAGGATTTGTTTCGTAGAGCTCAACCTGATGTCCAAATCAGAATCAGAATCAGCTTTAATGGCCAAGTACGTACACAACATACAAGGAATTTGGTTTCGGCTGTTGGTGTCGCCCTAGGAATTTGCACGATTAATAGAAATAGGAAAATTAAAATAAAATCAAGTAAAATAACTAAAGAAAGAAAAGAATAAAATACAATAAATGTTAATAAAAAATAAAAACAAGATAATAAGACAAATATATACAAGAATTTACACATCTAGTAGAAAAAGGTACATCAAATGCTATCCAGTAAGGGCTCATACGATATCATATCATGCAGAAAAAGATGCTTTGGATAATTCATCACATTGTTTGCTCAGCAGAGTAGCCCCGTCTCCATTGTTTGCCATATCGTCTGCACTGTCTGCAGTACATGTAGCAGAGTATTTGCTGAGCATACGGTGGTCAAGTCGTCGCAGCAAGTTGCTTTGTGAAATATATTGCTGGAAATTTAATACATTGTCACTTTCACTTTTTAATATAACTCCAACATCTATTAAAAATATATGTATATATCAGACACTTAACTGTTTTTTTTCTTTCAATTCCAGTATCTGTCAGGCTCTATTGTTTAGCGCTAGTCTATTATACAAGGTAGTAATTTCATATAACACCTTAAATTAGTTCTAACACTGTCAACACAGTGTGACAGATGTGAAAAAAGCTCAAGGCTCTTTATTACTTTCTATCTATTTTTCTTTCTCTTCACTAGAAAACATACTTAAAGAATGCGTGAATCAAACTTTAAACTTGACAAAAACGTTGCTTTCGATGACATTCTGAAACGCATGCCATATACAAGAAATCTCATAATCTTCATGTGTGACCATGGTTTTTAAATGTTTGGTAATACTTAGTTGATATTAGGTAGGAGAAAAAAATGCAACACTTGCTATATATGCGATGTCACGTGTGTTCATTAGTAATTACATTTAGTCTGACTGACTGGCTGCGTGCCATGTGCTACATTTAAATTACTGCTCGCGGGCCAATTATTGAAAATAAATTAAGACATATGTAATGCCTTGGTGCCTCGAACAAGCTGTTTTATCTGTTCATCTGTGTGTTTACCTTTGCAATAAGACCTGTCGAGCACAAATGCATAAAATCCCAGATTTAGGCTCATGTCAGTCCACATTTACATCATTGCCTCGGCTTTGCGACACTAAGGGTGCTACATTTACTGTAAGTGTATGTTGAAATCAACACTGGCCCCTCTTGGGCGTGAATGTGTGATTTCAGGCTTTTTTTAAGCATCAATAAACATCACTGATGGTGACAATCAGAGAAAACGGGTCCCATATCAAGTGCAGTCAAGTGTCATCTTAAATGATTTTGCTCTTTCTGTTCAGTGTAAAGTGATTGCATACATCAGTCCGCAGTCTGCACTTTCTTTTTTCCTGGAAAGTGTACCTGCGCTGATGGGTATTTTATTCATGAGTGAGCGCATGAGTGTTTGGCAGCTTGTGTGTTTGCGGTCTTCATATTCATGTGTACAGGCTCTTATTTTCTTGTCGTGGCTGTAAAAGGTGGCAAGAATATCTGCTGCAACGCTTATCGTAATTTGCTCGCTGACAACTAATCAACGCTGAAACAACATTTTTTGTGTGTTATATGTCTGTTTACGTAAACTCCAGCCAGTAATAAGGATGCGGGGAGCGTGCACGGGCATCTATGCATCCCTCAGTGTTTATGTGTCACCGGCGGTCTCCCACACTGTGCAACAGTGAAGTGCGGCTTGTCTAGTTGCGGGCTGATCAGGAACAGATGCTCTTCTCTTACTCGGGATTGCCTTCTAATTGGCTATTACTTTTTATAGACTGTAGTGCAGATTCTGCAACACACTTTATTCTCTGCCACATTTCACTGATTAGCTGACACTCTGTTGCTTTAATTTCTATTTTTTTTTTTTTTTTGCTGTACATGTGAGTGACAGGTGAAGGCGAGTTTGCAAGAGGCTGTCGACAATCACATCACCTCCCCAGCCCCAGATGCTCCCTGTACTGACAGCCATAAGGTCCTTGTAATGTCTGTGTTGCTTTATTACGGCACTTTGAAGCCATAGCAACAACCTCATCTCATTTACTTTTAGAGTAGCCAGCATCAAGCTGTTCTGTTGGATGCTTCCCGAGCTGACAACAGTGTTAATTAAAACCATATGAACTATATGTCACAGGAAAACAGTGACTTATGTGGGATTCATCTGACACTGACAGCAGATTAATGTGAGGCTTTCTTTAGCATGTCAAACTTTAACGTACCCTTTCCACATATGACACCATGTTCCAGCCTACACAGAGGTTTAATGTGTTCTTGACCATAGTTGACTGTTTCTATGTGATTTTTTTCTACAAGCATCATTCAACCACAGGGAATGTACTTTTTCTAGTGTTGGTGTCTTGTTGTGGTGCTGCTATCAGCAAAGTTTATTTAGTTTAGATAGGTCCATTAAAGCCCAGTAGGCCATAGAGCATATTCCGTGAGTATCCTTGTTTACCTCTCTGGGGATTTCCAATCATGCTGTAGCGTGGAAAGCCTGGCAGGCTTCTCTCCGGTCCCAGGAGGAGGCCATCTTTTGCCCACTGCACAGTCCCTGAGGCCCGCAGAACCTCACACCTCAACACAGCTGTGGCTCCCATTCGCACAGTAACGTTCCTGGGCTCAGACCTGAAGGCCTGCTGGGCCCGGGCGCCTGGAGACATAAAAAAGGAGAAGGAAGGAAGTGAAGTGAAGTGCAACGGTGCAGCCGGAAAGAGATGTGATGGGATTTAATTTAAAGAGATGGAGAAGAATAAGAGCTGAGTATGCGAGAGGAGTAGAAGGAAATAAGAGGAGTAGAGGAAGAATGACACAAACATACACCACAGGGTAGCAGTCCTGTGGTCTTTTGTCTGAGAAGACACCCCATTGTGTCTGGCCACATTATTCATCCTGGCATATGTTTTATTGATGGGAAACTGCAGTGATACGGCCCTGAAAATGAGTCAATAAAGTAATTACTGCAAATTAAATCCCCCCTCGGCCATGCAGATAGGGTATTGGGAGGAGGAAAAAAAGCATGGGGTATCAGAGACCTTGTTCACCTGCGGTTTTTCTTCAATGTCGATGTCCCACTAGCTAATTCCTCCTGGGAAGAGTAATGATTATCACTTTAATCCCCCTTGTTTGTCATAGGTGGTGTTAGCCATCCTTCAGCCAGGCTCTTAGGTGACATTCGGTGGTGCAGTGCGCTCGAGTTGGGAAGGTAACCTTAAAGCAGACCACCCATCAGCCTTTAACACTGGGGCTAGGATTATATGATTATTATACATAGGGGTTTATGAATAAATTCAGTTCAGGGAGCCAAATGCGAGTGCATACTCCAATTAGTGCATAATATCTAAGCATGAGTCTCGTTTAAACAATGCCCCACAGAGAAGCCAGCCTGATTCCATTGGGCTGTTTAAATCTTGACCTTCATTGAAGCAATGACCAAGTTGTTTGTGAAGTGCATGCTCTGTTGCATCTGACAACATGAGTGAGAGGCAGAGCTCTCAGATCAAGGCTGAACCAGTCACCTCACGTCAAATATGAAGGGCAAGATTGGCCATTACAGAGGATGCATACAAACAACCAAACACAGGAGCATATTTGCATACAGTTTACATAAATGAATACTCAACAATGATCTACAGCGGCTGCTAGAATAGTATTACACTGGATTTTTATTTTTTTTTTCCCCCAAAATGCAGTGATAAGGCTTCATTTTGATGGCATAAAGTGAAAAAATTATATGAGCTGAATTCATAATAAAAAATCAAACCTCTGCCCAGTTCATTACATTTGGGAGGTTTTTGCCACTGAAGCTTTAGCCTATTTATGATGGCTAGCAAGTTAAAAAATATTGCTGTATTACTGTCTCAGTTCTACTTATTGATCCTTGTCTACTTCTGCTTCTGTTACCCTACATTCAAAGCACACATAAATCAATTTATTTAATTAATCACAAAAGTAAAATTAGATATTTACATGTACCTCAATAAATGAAGAAATCTTGAAAATAATACACACATATTTAAAGTTTTTCTGCCTTATTATAGAGACAGGTTAAGAGACACAGAGGATGACATGCAGCCGAGGTCCTATGCTGGATTTAAGAAAGGAATATGGATTTTAGCCGTGGAACACTGTGCAGTGAGTCAACAAGGTGAGCCACTGGAGCACTCCGTAATTATATTAATTACATTAATACCCTGTAATTATATAATTAATTATATTTTGACCACTTGTTGGTTGCAGAGCAAGCTGTAAACAACACGAACATACAGTATCATTGCTTCCTGAATTTGATCTGGGTGGATGTTTTGAGCAAGCAATTGCTTGTTTGCACATTCAGCCAACAGGGAACAACGTTAGCATTTGGTCATGTTTTGTCATGTTCGTTGTTACCTCACTTATTCAAGTTCAGTATTTATTCTTGATTTTACTCCAGTTTGTTCCATCAGCTCCTGAGGGAAATATCTTGCTCTTTAGCACAGAATGTATATAAAAGATGAATGGAGCTGATGGACATAGAAACCTGCAGGTTGCATTTCTTCCAACAGCCAGTAGGGGGCGACTCCTGTGGTCGCAAAAAAAAGTCAGATCATATAGAAATCTAAAAGAAAACGATCCTATTTCTCCCTTGATTTGTTGCTTCAGGAAACATTTTCCAGATGAATTTATGGCCTTAATCCCTAGTTTTGATTCTTTTGAGCACAGCACGATGTTATTTAGTGAACTATGGTTCCTATTAAGAGTAAAACTGATGACAAAGCAAGATGCATTTAAGGATGAGGTTATGTTGCTATCATACCCGGGTTGCACTTGAGGCTTCATAACAGTAGTACCACAAGCCAGGGGGTGATGCCACGGTTGCTACGTCCATCTTTTATATGCAGTCTATGCTCTTTAGCAGCTAAATGCTCCAAAATGTTTGCTGAGGAACAGTGCACAGAGATAAAAGAAGACTGAACCAAAACAGTAACTTACAGGATGTTAAACCAAAAAAACAAACAGAAAGATGCCAAAGTCCCCTATATAGGAGAAGTTCAGAGACGGGTAGTAATTTCTTTGTAAGCTTGTGAGTGTTCTGTTTCACATTATAAGCATTTGACCTTGTTGGTATAAAAATACTATTTACCTACAACAGCTTTAAAGGACGGGTAAAGTAAGCCTATTTCACCCAACGGACTGACAGACATTTGCACTTGTCCTTGCACAAGTGTAAGCAAGAAATAAGATTCTGTGTACAGAGTAAGCAAGCATATAGGACACAATACTGGGGTGCTGAAATTGCAGCACTTACAGTAAATGAAATGCAGCCTTCATTAATTAATGTTATTAATTACGTCTGTGCTTTCCTGCTATGAGATGTCAAAATGTCCGCTGTGAAATGTTGATTTCCATTCCTCATGTCTACAATTAAATATGTATACAGTTTGACTCTCAGAGCACATTTTCACATTTGTTTGTGGTTTTTCAGGTAAATAAATCGACTGCATGCTATTTAAGTGGGGACACTTTTCTTCAGGGCAAAATTTCACATCTTGTCATCAGCTTTTCTATCAAATGTTTGTGTAAGACTCTATCTTCCCGGCCTGTCATAAGATGAAAAGGTACATTAATAACATGATGTTCCACACCGTACAGTCACATAATGTGGGGTTATGACTGTGTTTTGTGTGCTCCATGAACTGGAGGTCATTGTGGTGATCACCATGGCAACTTGTGAGGAACTGTTGTGTACATAACGGCAGAAGTGACATTAACGTTGTGTTGTTTATTTTCTGTATGACAGTGTCAGAGGTTGGGAAAAAAAAGGAGGAACACATTCAAGCAAGAAAGAGTGTCAGTAATAACATGCACACTCATGCTGGATATTTTTACCTTGAGTAAAACCCACACTAAACAGCCCCCCCCTCAGTCAGAAAAGCCGGCTTGATTGCAACTGAAGCGGCGTTTAGATGCGTTAAAAACACAAATGCTCTTATGACCAAGTTTCACTTTTGATATGAATAAACCTGTTAACAAAGGGTCCTTTTTCCACTTGATGTAGCGCTCACAGGAATAATGGCCTTCTCGCCAAAAGGAGTGAAAAAGATACGGCTAATGGATTCCTCCTTGACAAACAGGAGAGGGTAGCAATGACAATGTTAACGGCAAGTCCTGCTCGCCATCTTGATTTTCTAATTGATTTGCTTAGAAGGAAAAAAAAAAAAAATCTCACACAGGTGCCACAGTAAGCACATTAGAATTTAAATAAACCTTATATTTCAAGCAAAATCTCCACAACATAACATTAGGGAGATAATTGTGAGATTACCCAGGTTACTTTACCCTGATTCGCCGTAAGCTTTGAGCTATGACCCATACCGTGAGGGTAACTGGCTGTATGTAAACACACAGTGGCTATTATGTTATAGTGAAAATTCAATTAAGGCCTCAATAAAGTCAAGGTTCCCGGCGCTCAGCTGAATGGCCTGAACGTAGATGGGATTTGAAAAGGCCACAGTTACTGTAATGATAACTCCACGGTGACATTTGATTCTCTTACCCCAGATGAGACAGAGAAAGGGTAGAGCTGAAGGAGACACAATCCATGCTGACAAGAAGTCCATTTCACCACTGACACCTGACCTTCAACAGCCCTGGAAGAACTGGGAAGAAAAAAACACAAAAACACAAAAACACATATGTAACATACACAATCTTAAGGTATCCAACCAGTGAACACATGCTTCTGGGAGGCAGGTTTTAATTATTACTTAATTTTGGGTTGAAGTAGAATGACGCACTCACACTCAGAGACTGTAAATCAAAATAAAGATAATGCTAATCTGCGAATGGATCCCAGGAAAGACTAGCAACCACCTTGTGGAAGCTAATGGGGATCCAAGTAAAGAACAAAGTCTATCATTGTAGTATGTAAATACACAATTACACTTCATCTTTTCATATCGTTAGCCTCATTAAGTCATTTTTTGGTCAAATTGAGATATTTGCCTAACTTTACTCTCCTATCACTTCTGCATCATCCTGTCTTTCTACCTTTGTCATTGGCCAATCACATCTGGTTGAATGCACTGTTAAAAAAAATCAATAATAAATAGCAATGTCATTTCTAAAAATTGTGTTTTTTCTCATTTCCCAAAAACATGAAAATATGACTTAGGCAAGTATGCTATGAGGCTAACGATATGTAACCATTTTGTTTTCAGGGCTTGGCTCTCTGACAACATACTGGACCTTGGGTTTACAGTAAATGCAGTTTACTATTCAATTTAACATTCAGCTCCCAAGTCTAACAAGCTTTGGACAAGCGTGTGTTTACATCACCATCACAGAGGACGACAAATCAATGAATCAATCAATTGATCCATCTCTCCTTTGCATGCAATTAAAACAGAACGTTAAAAGGCACATTAAAAAGGTCTTTATGATCATGCTGTGTGATCATTTTAATGGTACAAAACCAGTTTTAGGTGGAAAAAAATGCAGGTGAGATTTTTGTGTTGAGTAGCTTAGCTGGTTAAGCTAGTGTTAGTCTCCTGATGAGCCACAAGGAGTGTGCAATTCCCCCAGCACTGTGTATGAATCGGCAATTAGGTGTTGTTGTCTCCTGGCGTCTCCTACAGGATCAGGCAAGGGAGTGAAGAATCCAACATACATCTTTCACCACAAG